CCCAGCGACAGCCCCAAAACATTTCTGCTCTAGAGGAGATCTGCATGGAGGAATGGTCCAAATTACCAGCAACAGTGTGTGAAAACCTTGTGAAGACTTACAGAAAATGTTTGACCTCTGTCATTGCCAACAAAGGGTATATAACAAAGTATTGAGATGAAATTTTGTTATTGACCAAATACTTATTTTCCACCATAATTTGCAAATAAATTCTTTAAAAATCCTACAATGTGATTTTCTGGATTTTTTTTTCTCATTTTGTCTCTCATAGTTGAGGTATACCTATGATGAAAATTACAGGCCTCTCTCATCTTTTTAAGTGGCAGAACTTGCACAATTGGTGGCTGACTAAATACTTTTTTCCCCCACTGTATATATTAAATGTTCCTAAGAACTGATCACTGCTAGGTTCCTATGGCATCACTGCAAACCCCCCTTTTAGAGCCTTTATTTTTAAGATGCACAAAACCCTAAATTATGAAACATACCTGCAATGATGATGCTGATGAAGATAATGTAATGATGACGATGATGGTTATGAAGATGACAATGAGGATGATGATGATGATGAAAACTTCCTGTTGGTTCTCATCTTTACTGAGAAGCTGATGCTGAAAAAGTCACAAAGATTTCTTAACAGAAGTCCATACCAGGGGTATTACAGTTAAAATCATAAAAAAAATAATTTGTGTTACTTGAAATAAAAAAAATGAACTGAAATAAAATAAACTACCAAAAAAAAAAAATAATAAATAGACTTATTTCAGCTAGTTGCCAAGGCAACATTTTTCATTTAGTTTAACTTGATGTTTTAAAAGAACTAGAACTGGAATAAAAATTCATAAAAAGGATACAGACAACTAATTTATTACGGGATGGTTTTACAAATTAAATCTCCAGTCGAAGGCCAAGTAAGATCGCACTCAATTTCTCCATGTTTTTCACCATTCATTCCTCCACTGACCTGCCGACCAACAGGAACTCTCCGACGAGGTTTTGTCGTCTCATGGCCATCAGGATGTTTCGTACGGTCATGCCCTCGCAGAAACACGCCACCACGCGAGCTTTGGGCAGATACTTGCGCAGTTTGGCCAGCAGACGGTCGAAGTTCTGCTCGCCGGCGTTACTCCAGATTTTATCAGAGTGAGCGATACAAATCCCTTCCTTTCCCGCCATCTCTTTAAACGCCTCCATCCCACTCTCACCATAGTTCCCTTGGAAAAAAACAGAGAGAAATAGACATCAGTATTCAATTAACTAAAGAAATCAGTCATGAGTCATAGTATTATATTCCAAATGTTTGACACTTTTGATACTCCAACTAATCTAATGTATATATATATATATATATATATATATATATATATATATATATACACACACACACAAATCGCTAGAGAATACACTGAAAAAAATTTGGAGTAGAAAAAAATTTCACTTAGAAATTGCACAAATAATTAACCCTAACCAACCAACCCATACATTCAGAGGAAAATTATTAATTCATAAAAATGATTACGTTGCTTGCAAAAAAACAACAACTGCTTTTAATGGAGAAAGATGCTTTTAAAGATGATTTTCAATAATTATGTGTGAACAGTGATGGCTTTGAAAAAAAATGTATTTAAAAATTGCTAGTAAATTTTACAAATAATTACAAAGAAATAGCAAGTAACAAAATTATACACAAAATTTTGAAAGACTGAAATTTTCTTATAAAATGCACTTCAATAATCTAAAAAAAATCTGAGTGAAATTTGTTTCTACACCATTTTTTCATTGTAGTTATTAAAATGATTACAGACTACTTTAGTTTTTATATAAGGTTAAATATAATAATACACTCTAAAAAATTTTTTTTCAAAGTTGTTACTGGAGCACGTTTTACATTTAAATACTATTTCAGTCGTTCTACTTCAAATTTCACATTTAATTCAATGTGTTACTTGCCATTTCTTTGTAATTCTTTGTAAAATTTACTAGCATTTTTTAAATAAAAATCAATTAAAAATACAGACCAACTCAAACAAAATGTAGAAAAATATATTTAACAATCTTTTTTCCACACATCTAGAGCAGATTTCATCTGTTTGCACAGAACGTTGTGCTACAGTGTGTGAAATACTGACATTGTTTCAGACTACAGCTATATGGATTTAATAAAGTTTGCTGAGACAATATTGACTCTCTCTTTCAGTGTCTGTCTCGCTTTGTCTGATGGAGAACTTGAGGACGGAGAGGTGCAAACCAGGTAGTTTTAATCTCACACACATAAAATACACAGAGATCAACCACACACACTCATATCGACACATAAATGAAGCTGTGAAAGTGTCAGATGAGTGTGTGAGAGAATTGAGGTTCCTCAGAAAGGTTTCATCAGGTTCTGGTCTTGGTTGTTGTGGGTACATGTAAAGTCTTGTAATTAGTCTCACAGTGAGAGTAGCAGACACGAACAGATGGCAAACACACACACACACACACACACTGTTGACATAAACACACAAACAGTCTCCGTTCATAAAGAGAACACCAGCCTTCACTTCCTGTCAAAGATCATTGAACAGAGATCATGAAACGACTCACAACTAAACATTTGATTAAAAACTAATGATCTCTATTTGATGAGGACCCATAATGTCCTTCAGAACCATCACAGGGAGCTCAAAATAAAATCAAATAAAATCAAGTTAACATATACAGTGAAATATGATATTAAACAACAATAAATGACTTATAATGTAGTAAAATATTGTAAAATACTTATTTTTATAAGTGTATGAATTACTTTAATTTTTAATGGTGAAAAATTATATTAAATATCTTATATTATATTAAAATATCTACCAATGCAGTACATCTACTTTCATGGTAAACTATTGTTAAAACTGTTAACTTAAACAATGTTACCAAAACGACATCCCATATTGCCTGAAATGTTCCACTAATGATTTATCCTAAAATTCCATAAGATAAATAAAAAGACACAAATTAAAGTGCAATTTGAATCTGAAAAATGAACGTAATTATCACAGCTCGGGTCATTTGATTTTGAGAGAATTTCATGAGAAATATTTGAACTCATATTGAGATATATACATTTTGATCGCATACTCTGGTATCTTGACAAATCCAAGCAGTCTGAGATTTCTACAGACAAATATGAGTCTTTTTCTCCAAAAAAAACAGAAGCAGAAGAATCAAATAAAAGCGGCCATTTAATCTCACTGCTGTCTAGGAGAAACGATCGAGATCTCATTAGTGATTTCCTAAAGAGAACGGATGGCTAAACACCATCTAATTTATAAACCACACACACACACACACATCTCCACCTCAAAGTGCTGCACTCGCTCGGCTGGAATGTGGATAAATATTACAGCTGAAAATCGAACATCTGAACGTCAAACGCTGAGCTGCCCTTTATAACCCGAGCAGGAATGTGCGTTAGTGGAAGAGCGAGGTAACAGTTGTGTTACCTGAGTGAGTGTTGACATGGATGTGTTGTAGTGTGTTTCTCTGTAATTACAGCAGACACACTGGAGCTGGAGAGAGATGCTATCAGCACTGTCTCTCTCTCTCTCTCTCTTTCTCTGGCTGCGCTTCAGCTCTCTGGACTGAACTGTTGCAATAGGTGAAGGAATGTGTAGATCTTCATTCATTCCTCTGGATTTAAAGGGACAGTTCACCTAAAAATTACAATTCTATTATAATTTTCTACATGTTTTACAGTTTTACTGTGGAACACAAAAGATGGTATTTTGGAAAATGTCTTAAAAACTCACCTCATTTAAATGAAGTTTAATTTCAACTTTGAAGTATAATCACATTAGCCATTTTAACTCATTTTTAAATTGTGTCTAGTTGAATCTCTTACCTATATAAAATATAACTGAAATTGGTTAAATTATTTTGATGAGTTAAAAGTAATATGAAAAAATATGATGCCACGACTTATTGATTACTGTATATCATTTTTTTCAGTTATGCATTTTTCATCCATAAAATGAAAGTAAATGGGCTCCCAAACATTTTCTTTGGTGCTCCACAGGTTTGGAACAACAAGGAAAATAAATCATATAACTGAAACTTCAATTTTAGGTAAACGATCCCTTTATAACTTATGAATATCCTTCATCTGATGCCATAAACTTTACAAACTTCTTCAAATTAACAGCTACATGTTCCTCAAAAGATCTCAATGTTCAGAGGAGGAGGGTTACATTAAAAAAAGTTACTAATTAATTTCCAAAAAGGACAACATCAAGGCCACATATGCAAATGAAGACAAGCCTAGAATGCAACTAGAATGCAATTAAAACAAAAAATGCAGTGGCATCTTAGAAAAAGACAAGAATTATGATCCTGCACTGAAACAAACTGATGCAGGATTTACTTTAAAACAATTTTCACTCAGAAATCGCTAGTAAATTTCACAAACAATTACAAAGATACAGCAAATAACACTCTGAACTAAACATGAAGTTGAAATACTGAAATACTCTTTTCTAGTAAAACATGCTTCAATAATTGTTGTTTTATTCACAACTTCAAAAAAATCAACTGTTGCAATAGGTGAAGGAATGTGTAGATCTTCATTCATTCCTCTGGATTTAAAGGGACAGTTCACCTAAAAATTACAATAAAATCACTCTCAATTTGTTCGCAAACTCGTATGACTAACTTTTGTCTGTGGAGTACAAAAAGAGATGTTTTGAAGAATGTTCACGCTGCTCTTGTCAATACAAAATAGTCAATCGGGGGCGATTAACCTGAAAGAAGTAAAGCAAGCACCAAAAGGAACTATGACTATATGCATCTGTCTAATGTCATATGATGAGTGTTGATGAGGAACAGAGAAGAACAAAAGTCATACCAGTTTGGAACGACATGAGCATGAGTAAATGATGACATGTTATTTATTCTGAGTTTAAGGGGCCGTTCACATATCGCGTCTTTTGTGCGCTCAAGTTCGTTATTTCAAATGTAGGCGCGCGTCTGTGCCACATCGAGATAAAAACATTTAAACTTTTCTGCCGCAAGCGCACCGCGGGTCATGTGACAAAAACCAACCAATCAGCTTCATCCTTTCCCGTAACAACATTGAAAGCTCAGCCAAGATGAAGGAACAGCTGATCGTAGCTGTACAGGGATAGCCATTTTTAAATACATTTAGTAGCAGAGCTACTTGCAAGCGGTTTTTAGTGCTGCAAATCCATTTACCCTTTGCTGAAACTTCCGCGTCTTCATGGAGAGCGCAGGTCATGGTTGCTTAGCAACGGCAGACGCCTCCGGAGCGCAAGCGCCCGAACGCTTTGGAAAAAAGCAGAAAGCGGCGCACCGAGCATTTTCCACACGTTTTTAGGCTCGACATGTGAACGGCCCCTTACATGTCTTATAATGACTGACATGTTGAATGCTGTTGAAACATGTGAAACGTCTAGTATATTGACACAAAACTTATTGTAAACTCCTCCGTGACTCATTATTATAACAATGTTCTGTGACTGTTATTGAAATATGGCACCAAATAAAATTTTATAAAAAATTTTAAAAACTTTGACAAAAAAAGAAAAAATGCCACCATAAAATAAATGTTAATTGGTTGTTAATTGACTTACCATATGCAATGAAAATTATTTAACAAAACATATAATTTTTGTATAAAATACTGTATTTATTTATTTTTACTGTTTGTAATATATTTATTTTTTATTACTTTATATTTAACAATAAAAATTTAAACTACAGCAAAAACATTCATCTCATAAGAAACTCTTCCATGACTAATTTCTTCAGAACATTCTGAAACTGTTATTGAAAAATGGCACCACCAAAATAAAATAATAACAGACAAGGAATGTAAAAATGCTACCATAAAAGAAATGTTAATAGGTTACCTTTAAGCTGACTTACAACATGTAGAGCAAACTATAATTTTATTTAACAAAAGATAATTTATATTATCTACAAATGCACAACATCTCATAACAAACTCCTCCACGTTTCTTAACATTTTGTGACTTATTGAAGGATGGCACCAACAACACTGAAAAATGCTGGTGTACAAACAGTTTTCGCTCAGAAATGGCTAGAAATTGCTCATGTATAAGAGACAGATGCTGTTATCTGCAAAAGGTCTTTCTCCGCCCGTTACATTATGTGAAGTATTTGCACTAAATCAAATTGAGTATCCAACGGCATCAAATGATAA